TCCGCGGGAGCCGTCAACACGCCCCAGACGCTCATGCTCAGCGGCATCGGGCCCGACGACGAGCTGAAGAAGCACTCGATTGCGCGTGTCTTTGCCAACGACAACGTCGGGAAGCAGCTCAAGGACCACCTCTGCAGCAACGGCGTCTTGTGCAAGTCCAAGAAGGGCTCGACCCTCGACTACCTCGCCGACGACATCAAGGCCATCCCGGCCCTGGTGCAGTGGCTGCTATTCGGGACCGGTCCGCTGACCAGCAATGTCGGCGAGGCCGCCGCCTTTGTCCGGACCTTTGAGTACGACTTCCCCGGTCTCGTGCCCAAGGACTACACCTCTGGTGAAAAAGCCCCGGACTTGGAGATTATCGGCGCGCCAATTGCCTTTATCCACCACGGAGAGGAACGGCCTCTGGACGATGCCAATGTCTTTAGTCTGGCCCCGATCGGCCTGCGGCCACAGAGCAGTGGCACAATCCGCCTCAAGAGCGCAGACGTCTTTGACCACCGTAAGTTGTATCCCCGTACACGTACGCAAGGCGAGTCCTCGGTTATACTGACAAGTTTCTTTTTTTTTTTTTCAACTAGCCATCATTGACCCCAAGTATCTCACCGACAAGGAGGACAATGACAAAAAGGTCTTGATAGCCGGACTCCGCCTCTGTCTCAAGATTATGCGCAGCCCAGCCTTCCAAAAGTACTTGGACCCCGTCCCCACGAACGACGACCCTTCGTCGTACTGGTGGCCGTATTCGTGCAGCGACCCGGACGCCGTGACCGACGAGCAACTCGGGCGCTACCTGGTCGAGCGGGCATTCACCCTCTACCACCCCGTCGGTTCGGCGAGGATGGGGCCGTCGCCCTCCGACAGCGTTGTCGATACAGAGTGCCGCGTGTACGGGACGAATGGGCTTCGCGTTGTCGATGCCAGCATCTTTCCGGAGCAGATTAGCGGGCATCCGACGGCGCCCATTGCGGCCATTGCACACCGGGCCAGTGAGATGATTAAACAGGGCCGCAAGACTGCCTAGGGTGTTTTGTCTGCACAGATGTCCGGTCCGGTGCTTTTGGCTTTCTTTTTCTCGTATTCTCTGTGCTGGGTTTTCAAGTTGGGTACAGCGCTTCGTTTGCAGCTGCTGGGGTTTGTTTTCGGACTCCTGCTGAGGCGGTTGTCGGATGATGGGTTAGCAACTTGACGTAATTGAAGTCTCGAGAGGGCTATTCCCCTCCAACCCAAGGTTCCCTTTGACCACGTTTAGTCATGTAGGCAAATGATCTGACTATTCTCATTCTATGATCGTCACTTCATCGCAAAGGAGTTTCTTGCCTCCTTCCCAGCGTTTGTTAAACAGAATGGCAGATGCAAGAGCAGAGAAACCACCACAGGTCCACTTTGAGTAGCAATGACAACATTGAAACAACATGACTTGAGACGTATTTCACATCATCGAAGACGTGGGCGCTGCTGTACTCAACATTATAGCATATGCAAAGACCATGTCACCTTGAACTTGACAGACGTGACGCAAGTTTGTTTTGATTGACAATCTTATAAATTCCGCGCGATCCCTCGGCCCCATGTCCCAATTACATGGCGTAAAAAAAAAAGACAACCAAGAACAGAATCCAAATAAAAAAGACGAATCAAGCTCGCCAACAAGCTATACAACCTACCATATTGCGCCAGATCCCCCCAGTCGAGTCCATGAAGCGCAACGCTTCGCACGAGGCGAGCCACGCATTCGCACTTTTACTCTGGCCTCCTACCGATTTTCCGAAAGTATGCAAAGGGGCAAAAGACTATCCAGGCGAGAACCACATCGCCCAGCAAACGTGTCTTCAATTTCGCGCCTCGATATTTGCCTTTAGTACACGTGGTACAGTTTTGGCTACCGCCTCGCGGCTACACTATACATGTAACTACTATCAACTAATCCCGGACTGCGTGGGTATCCTATATCTCAAATCCTACAGAGCATACTGGGTGACGTGCCGACGTTAGATTTCACAAGAACCGTTTTTTATGGCTAGAAGACTCAGATTTAACCTGGATCCAAGATTTATAGCCTCCGACGCATTAATTGAGGCGATGGTGCGACGTGTCAACTATGTTCTAGCCTTTGGGACAAGCTGGCGGCGGGCTCGAATAGAAGCACCAGCTTAATAGGCCCTACCCCTGCATGTGGGCTCCTGGCGGTGGCTCTCGTCTACTGCATGATTACCGTATGAGTCATGAGTCATGACTCATGACTAGGACTTTAGCTGTCTGCATGAATACAAATTTCTAATCTTATGCACTTTAGCCCCTGTTTAATGCACTACTAGTGACCTTATAAGAGGGTATATAGCTAATAAAAAAAAGGAAAAAAAGAGATATTAATACTTAATTTCTTAGAGAAGAAGTAAAATAACTAGTAAACTCTTATTAATTCCTGCTAAAGTACTTAATAAGCACCTATTATTTAGTTATAAAATTATATATATATATAGCTATAAAACCCTGCTTTATTAATTTTATTAGGTTACAGGTAGTCAATTAAACAGGGGTTGAAGTGTATAAATGCGCATAAACTATAAATGCGCATAAACCCTGTCAGGACCTAAAATACAAGGCGGGCACGATTAGTCCACTTGGTTGCTAACAAAGTCTTTAATAGCGTTGCAGTACTTGTTGGTACCACCAGTTTTTAGTACATGGCAGATCGCAATTTATATCAGGCAACCAAGGCAGCTTCTCAACCCGGGATTTGTGCGCCTTAAGGCATGCTTCTGTAGAGTTAAACTGCTTGTCGGTTTGGTCTCGCGATGGACCAAAGGAGGCGCAGTACCATTCCGTACCGCAGTCTTTATCAGTGCGTTGTTTTATACAGGCCTTGGGATAGGTGGGGGGCGGCGGGTACCAAAGCATTCTCTCGCCTAGAGGCATATCCTGCTAATGCTCCTCTAACAGCGCCCCATTTTTGGGTGGTTGTTCTTGCTGCCCTACATGGGACGGTATTGGGACACATGCAGGAGCAGTTGCAATGCTACACGCTAGCGTCGGGGCAACCGCACTGACCGTGGCCGGTACTGCCGCGCTTGCAAAGCTAAAAAGAATAACACACTTCATGGCTTATTATGATAAAATGAGGGCATTAGATAGCAAGTGCAAATAAATATAGTGTGTCCAATTGGTTATACAATATTAGTGTTGCGGTATCTAAACGAACTATTGAGGTTTGTACGAATATATATACTCAACTAAGTAAGTACCCTTACTTTCCCAAAGTTAGTACAGGTAAGATTATTGCCATTGTGAATTCTTGTTGATTTTATATATGTCTTCTCGAGTTATGCCCAGCTCCACCTGCATTATCTGGCATATTATCTGGTAAAGTCACAAATTGGCTAAAGTAGTTATGCACTTCCTTCAAGGCAGTGCCTATTACCCAGCGGCTAAGTGTGTGACCACACTCAAATCCACTAAGTCGCAGATAAGTAATAGGCATTATGCGACAAGTATACAAACTCCACCCGCTTTCTAAGATTTACGTTATGCTATTATAACGGCTATCTGTAACGAACGCGCATTATCAGATGTGCCAACAAGATCTTCTCGCGAGTTATTGGGCACCCTATCTCAAATAACAGATAAATATACTTCGCTGTCTGACCTCGTGTCATTTCGACGACACCAGAGGGATCCATAACTAGGCCGAGTGGTATTTTGGATCCGCCCATCAAGCCCTGTCAAGTGGCGGCCAGCCAGCACCAAGATGAAGTTGATGAATATTCCACCAAAACTTCCCCTATTCTCCCTTTTATTATGCGAGCTACTTGAAATGTTTTATGCGATGGGCACTTAGTCGATACTTAGTAATTCTAATTCTCCACTCCACTATAAAGTTCAACTCGCTACAGTAATACAACGGGTCTCGGCATTGATTGACCGTGGAATTCACCGGGAGAACTGCGGCGGTTTATTCTACCCTTCCTTCGAGCTTATTTAACATTTTGTATTATAATCTCGCGTGATTATCACGGGGCGAACCTAGGGTACAGGTAATAACATAATTGTGCCTTAAGGAGGAGGGAAGAGGAAGCTATCTAGGGCTACAACTATATAGTAGACTGATAGTCCGTGCTTTGTGGGTGCCTCAGGCAAGGTCGTGATAGTGCTGTAACAGTTTCAATTAATAGAGGCAGTTTTATTCGACAGGTGAACAGGTCTATAGGGACGGTAAGGGATATTATTTGGAGGGAGGGTCATGATCCTACCAAAGATATACCAAGTATAATTATAGTAAAAGTCGATAGTTATAATAGGCCTAAGTTCCCTGGCACCTACTATATTCCTATTTTTCTTGTTACCAGCCAATTCAAATACAAAAAATGTGACTATTTACGCATTAACTTCCCTCTTCGCCCCGCATATACTATCACGGTGTATAAAGCACAAGAATTAACGCTGAAATAAGTGGTATTGAACCTGGAGCAAAAGGATTATGCGCCGGGATTGTAAAGCATACGCTGGCATTTTAGCTGCGGGGCGTACAGGGGGCCGTTAAACAGAAACAGCCGATACTGCTAGCATTAACACGACATGTAAATGCCGCAGTGCTGCTACTATCAATGCAGAGGGGCTATTTATGCTCATTTTATAAGGTGTGGGAAGGATAGTAGATTCGTCATAGCAGGGGCTAGAAACCGATCAGAGATAGACGAAAAACTGAGTACTCGTGCTACGCCCCTACTTTTTTAGTTCCGGTCTTTGCCTTCACCTTCAGAGCCTTAAAAAGTAGGGGCGTGGCACGAGTAATAAGTGGATCTTTTGTGATTTGCCCTAAAACGCTTATACGAAGTTACTTGGGGGTCTTCAAGTTAACCCAGAAGAGTGGAGTAAATATAAGTAAGTATTTTACTAGTTATAAAAGCATTCTCGCTTTACAGAATCTAGCCTTTTTCTTATACTTCTTTATCTACTATCTTCTTACAATTGCTGTCTTGTCTTTATTCTTGGCTCTCAATATGCCTTCTCAAATTATTACTCTTCTACTCGGCCTTATGGCTACTACATCTATAGGACAATCGCCTAGTATTCCTTCTGGGTTAGATGATATATTCAAGAATAAATGTGGTACCGACTCACCTAGTGCAGAAGCTATAAATATAGTACACTTCACAAATACCAGTGCTACTATTCAGAAGAGGCAAAGCGCTATAAGTGAGGAACCTCTCTATATCGATACTTTTATGCATATCGTGGCGCCGTCTCAAGAAAAGCTGCAAAACTTTGTTAGCGTAAGTAAAATTCCTTAGTTTTTTAAGTTAATACTAATATTAATAGACTGCGACTATATATAAGCAAATGAAACATTTAAATAACCTATTTAGTCCCGCTAAGATTACCTTTATACTCCGTAATATTAGCAGAACCGCTAATTCTCATTGGAGTCGGGGTCGTAAGGAGGTACAAATGAAAACTGCCTTACATAGAGGCAGCTATTCTAGCCTCAATATATATATTGTTGAGGAACCTCCTTTAAAACTCTTAGGCAAAGCGACATTACCGTTCCCGGACTCGACAATTAGTCCTGATTATAATTCTCATTATACTAAGGATCAGATTACACGCGATGGCATCTACGTATCGGTACACAGTTTGCCAGGCAGCCCGCCGTATAAAAATACCAGCAGTACGGGGACTACGATTTTGAACTTGATAGGGACAACTTGTGTCCATGAAGTTGGCCACTGGCTAGGCCTCCTCCACACCTTTACGGATTATGAAAAAATTCCAATCGAGAATCGCACGCTAGAGACAATCTGCAGTGACCCTGGCGATGGCATTGATGACACTCCTTCGCACGTTCTAAATCGTCATAAAAATTACGCAAAATGTGCGGCGGCGAGACTTAGTTGTTCAGGCGGTGGTCCAAATAGAATTTGCAGCGAGAAGCCTGGATTAGGTAAAGGCTTCACGGAAGTTGATTCGTGTCCAGACGACCTTCCGAATGTGGGGAGTCCAGGCCCAGATCCTGTGAATAATATTATGACTTATAACCTAGAGTAAGTACTAGAAGCTTATTAATACGTGTATATAAAGATAACTAATATAGTATAAAGCGTTTGCCAAACTGAGTTTACGCCTGGCCAGATACAAAGAATGCGCCGCGTTTTTATTGAAATTCGTACTTCAAATAGCGAAACACCGACTACACAAGAAACTTTGACAACACCAGTAAGTTGATTATCTATAACAGGCCGATGCTCTCGAAATTACTTTGGCCAGTTATATTCCAATTATCTTTAAAGTGCTATAATATTATTTATAATCTAACATGGCTGGCGACAAAGGAAATTACCGATTCTACAAATACTAGCCCTAGTGCAGTTGATAAGGAAATAAAGCAATCGTCTCCAGATAATTTGGGAATTCCAGGCTGGAAATAATTGTTACGTCCTGGAAGCAGATTGTAAGGGGCACAGGGCTTATTCAGCTAGCCAGAAATGTGTTACAAACCAACACATTAATTGTATTGCAGAAGAGAAGAACTAGAAGCTCTTGAGAAGCAGGCTACCTATTTATATAGTTTATACTTAGGGGCAGATTATAAGACCTTTATTTGGTAGCGTTATTGTATCGGCGTTAGCCGAGTGCACTTTAACAGCCTAGCCTGTTACACAAATAACTAGGTGTTAGAAATATTGTGATAATTATTGGCCCACGATATAGCGTTGTTTAGTCGGACTAATATACCCCGGCTTAGATTTTACTTTACTTAGTTAAATTAATATTATTTTATTTTAATATTATTAACTAAGCTTATAAAATAATTTATAATATAAATTACTTAAAATAATAACTTTAATTATAAAAGCTATAATATTAAGCTATATATAAGTAATAGCTTTTTTTTTAAACTTTTAAATATATATAA